GTAAGAAAAGATTGAACATCCTCCAGAGCTTGTTGCAAGCTTAGTCTCATAGTATTAGTCATTTACATTACAGCAAGAGGCTAGGTTTTGAATCTGGTGAAATATCAGATCTTGTGCTTAGAACAAATATGCTTCTTAGTATCCAAAGGGTAATTGTATATAAGGTGAAAAGTAACTGGATAAAGATCTGATTTTGGATCCTATCTTAACTTATTATCACATGAATTTTAAAAAGTAACTTAATTTTACATTTGACTTTGCTTTGAACCTAAAACTGGTCTAAAAAATTAAGTCTATTAAAAAAATAGCCCTTCTGAATTTCACTTTCTTCATCTGCTAAAAAAACAAAGGAGAGGGTATAAAGTTTCTAAATCAAATGTAAATTAAGTCGAGGAACCTGTGAAACACAGAGCATAAGATATTGTCCCTTTCCTTTTAGCAGATGTTTTCCATTGGTTGAAGCAATCACAAGGCAGCACAAGTTCAGGGAAGGGGGCAGAGTCCTTCTTGACAGGATAAGTGTCAATGAATTTTGACAACCTAAGGCTGTTTTTTGAATGCAGTGGGGAAGGGGAGAATGAATTTCCCAAATACATGCAAAATTCTGTTTATGTGAGCACTTTCCTGAAGGAAAATTTGCGTGACTTTCATTAATTTCTTAAAGTAAGATGTGAAATGTCCCTGAGAATATAAAAATTCTTTGATATTCTCCCCATCAAGGGGTGAGGTCTGCTTTCCTTCCCCTTGAATCTAGACTGTCTTGTGACTGCTTTCACCGAAAGAGAATGGGGTGGGATGATGCTGGATGACTTCAAGTCTGTCATAAAAGGGGGTACAGCTTCTGCCTTGTTCACTGGAACAGTTATACTTACAAGGCTGAGCTGTTTTGTAAGAAACCTGATCACCCTGGGGCTGCCATGCTGTGAGGACACCACACCAATCACCTGGACAGACTGCTTAAAGGTGGTCCAGTCCAGAGACCTAGTTTCCGAGAACACACATTGCAGGCGAAAGAGGTAAGCAGATGGTACGAGAGGATCATCCAGCAGAGGCTGAGGAGGCTTCAGCTTCACAGAGGAGGAGAAGACTGGGTTGAGTCCTCCTGTGCCAGCGGGGCCTGGTCAGATAAAGGAGTCTCAAGACGGGGCCTCTTGTCCAAAGGCAGATGATAAGAAGTAGGGGATTGGGAAATAGAAGAAATAACTGAGAAGAGACAATAGAAGGATTGTTCAGCAGTGTTGACACCAAGTAAAATTAGAGACAGTGTGTTTGTAGTGGCCCTATTTATTGCCACTGTGTGATTTTCTCCAAATGGGCATCATCCTGTGTGTGTAAAAGAGTAAAGGTAGATAGTAGGATTGAGTGGAATTTTCTAGATGGATGCACTGGAAGGACCAGAGAGTAAGAGAAGTCAGGGGTTAGCCAGAGAGGGATTGAATTAATGAATTCTAGAGTCTAGCCTAGGCCAGAGCTTCCTAAGGACATGGGCCTTGTACATTTTATTTGTTTCTGGGCCCATTATTATTACAATGAATGATCTAGAGTGAGACAGGAAGCAAAGAGGCTCATAGTTTGAAGAGAAAAGGAGATGTCCAAAATGAGAATTTCAAGCAAGGTCAAAGAACAGGGATAGTGAGAATGAAAAGTGAGAGAACTGGGAGGTCTGGGGGTAGTAGTCTGGAGTTTCATGATGGAGGTGACTTCTGAACTGGGTCAAATATTTAGTTTAATTGGAGAAAGAAGCTAACACATAACAATGCAAAACAGTATACTAGTGCTCTGGGCATAAGAGGGAGGAAAGGTAATTTGGGGCTGGAGTGATCACTTTGCAGAAGAGGTAAGAGTTGAACTGGGCCTTGAAGAATGAGTAGGGTTGTCAGCAAAGACATGGGAGTGGGTTTGGGGGGAAGGTATTTTTAGGGGATAGGGCAGGGCAGTGGTAGGAAAACTATGTGGTTACTGGAAAAGTCAGGACATGTTTGGAGAGTTCTGGAATGGAGGGTTTGGCTGGAGCTGAGAGTTTGTGAAGGAGAATCATAGGAGATGAGAACTGATAATACAGGTTAGGGCCAGGTTGTGCAGAACCTTGAAGGCCAGCACAGTGTCATAGACCAGCGTGTGAATGTCAGAAGCCTGGAACTCTGGGGACTATCTTAGAGGCTGGCCACCAACGTCTCTTAGCACAATGCATGACATATAATAAGCCTTTAATTACTATCCGTAGTGGTAATATTAAGATAGTATAGAAATGTATAAAGAAGAAAGTCTTACACCATTTAGATAGAGTACAAATTTCTAAAATGATTTTTTTTCCCCCTAAGGAAGACTACTAGTAGTACAATCACAAATTTTTAAACCTTTCTACAACATTCACAAGTAAAAGTTTACTAATTACTGAAGTATTAACTTAGGACAATTAACTTTGGAGATCCTTTTATCTCTCAGATTTGGAGTCTATTTATCATACTCTTGTTTATCCTTTTATTAAGCATTGTGGTTATTCTGAATTTGGAGCATCACCTACTCTCTGTCTCTGTCATCCATAAGATTATCATTTTCATATAAGATCACATAGAAATAGGTCAGGGATGAAAAGAACATCCTCACCAAACTCTGCCAACTAGCTGATAGCTGAAAACCAGTTCTTGTAGGAACTGATATTTCAAAAGACTGCTCCCTTCTGTGCCTCTCCTATCATTTCTACCCTATTTTATTCTCTGTGACTAGCAGCTGTTCAGCGCAGTGCTGAGCACAGGAGCACTACAATCAGAAAAGTGAGTGAGAGACACAACAGTAGACTGGGGGAGAGGGAGGTGCTGTTCCCTGGTGATAGAGTGGGAAAGTGGGAGATGACACAAGCAACTAGATAGCAGTGTGGTGGCTGGTTGGGAAGCATCTGAAAAATGATCAGTTACCTAGATTTAAAAAAAGGAAGAGGAAAGCCTTCAAGCATCTCACCAGTCACCTTTCAGTAGAGCCCTCTAATTCAGGGGACAAGGAGATAGGGCATATTCAAGAAAATTCATAGCTGCTGAGCAGTCTTGTAAAGTTGGCTTCAGTTTAGGTGGATTGGTACATTGTGCTAGCTTCTTTTATAGGGGCCAGAATCATTTTATAATACTGTTTGCTACTTTAATGTTATTGCTTTAATCATTTGACTACCACCAGTTCCTTCAGGCAATAGGAAGTGATTGAAGATTTAATGAGATTCATATTGCTTATTCTTAAATGTTGATGACTTCCTGCATGCATATTAATCATTCCTGACCTTGATCTTAAATTCCTTCCCAGTACAAATTCTCATCAGGTGTTACCTTACTAGTGCCTCAGTGTTCATCAGATACCTAGATTGTTTCCAAAAGTACATTAACTCTCACTTGTGTGTGTCAGATTTTTCAGTACCCTTGTCTGATTTGTCTTGCAGTTCTTACTATGACTGTAAATCTGGAAAATTTAGGGGGAGGAAAATGAGCAGTAAAACTCTTAACAGGGTATTTAGCCTAGTTTAAAAGACTGTTCTGTTCAGCAGACCTTGAACATGCCTTAATTGGTTGTCTAGGTCAGTATGTCCAACTGGCAACTCTCAGACTCCATTCAGGCCACAGAATGTTTCTGGGAGGCTTATGTGTGCATTCCGGCTGTCGAGCAGCAGGATTCCTTGGCCACTGTCCCCTGCTTTGCGGCCCCATCCTTTAGTTCAGGCCCACCCCCTCCTGTCAGGGGGGCGTGGGAAACCCTGGCTGGCCACCTGGTCTCCTCATGCCCAGCATCCATGCATCTGCATCCCATCCTTACCCCAATTATCCCCTTAGCCCCCTTGGCAGATTTCCTGACCAACAGTCCCAAAACTAGGACCTAGGGGGCAGGAGTTGTCGAAGTGTGTGGGAGGGAAGGTGAGAGGGCCAAGGAGCCCTAGGGAAGATGAAAGTGAGAGTGAAGGGGTGTGGGAGGGAGAGGGGGAAAGGTTCACACCAGTTGGAAGAGAAAATGAATATGTAAGAATTTGAAGATGAGGAGGTTTGTGTATGCAGAAGCAGAAGTGAGTGGGAAGAAGTAGGGAAAGAGGAGAAGGAGATTTCCTATGGTGATGCCAGTCACCAAGATAAACAAAAGAGGTAAATTTGTGTGTGAAAGAGGCCACATGCAGGAGAATGAGCAGAGAAAACAGGGAGAGCAAAACAACAGCTCTGCTTGGCAGAATACGACCATGCTCATCCTTGGGAAATGCGGTCTGACAGGGCATTTCTTTCAGATTTGTGAATATATTTATAACCAAAGAAGAGTATTACTATAAAAAAGTTCAACCAAAAATAGATACACCCTTAGAAGACTTTATTAAATTGAGGTTATTTAGGATGTCTCAAAAGTGTAGTTGATTCAGAAGGTACAGCCTGCTTGCTGGCATGTTGTTTTAAATGTGGCTTGTCAAGAAGTTGGACAGTAACGATTCTGATGACTTAAGTACTTAACATTTTTAAAAAACAAAAATGGGTAATTTTCATATGTAAGTAGAAGTTTTTCATCTTTTTAAATAAAGTAATCTATTAATATTCAACTGAATAGGTGGGAAGATAATCCATTTGTATAGAAGGTTTTTCGTATTTAATGATCAAAATCTCTATCTCTTAAAAACCGCTTAAAAAAATAGCCAAAACGTTTCATACCTTTTAACTCAATTATTTACTTCCACCTCTTGAAATCTAAATTCAGAAAATGAGAGATGCAAAGATTTAATTTCAAGGATGTCTATTATAGTGCTTATATTTGTAAAGAACTGGAAACACCCTAAATATCCAATACAATAAAGGAATGATTAAGTAAATTATGATATATCTGTAAGATGGGGTAACTCTCAGGGGAAAATACGTTCCCAGCCTGGGGGAAATAAACCTTTGAAGCCGAAATTAGTCAAAGGGAGAAAATTGGGAGAAACCCATTTATTACTTACAAGCAGTCATCTACTCCTGCTCACCTGTGTCTTTTGCGACCCAATTGCCCAGGCTCCACCAAACCTCTCCAGTCCAGGTACCCACTCGCTGTCTACTCACCTTGTAATCACCTATTGATATGGAAATGAACTACTCTCCACCCCTTGGAAACGCCTATTGATATGGAGATGGACTAAGGCCAGGTGAGAGATTCTGGAAATAATGCAATTTTACCCACAGATGGAAGAGACTGGGATTTGGTCGTTAAACTACTTCCTGTAGTTCATCTCCACACTGCAGTCAAGGTGTTGTCAGACAGCTGCATCAGGGGAGGTCTCTGCCTGTGCACTAGGTGAAACCTCAATCTGTACGCACGAGGATTCTTGACTCTGAAAAAGAATTCTCGAGCAGGTCAAAGAGTGTAGGTAGGTAAAGAATTCATTAAAGCGAGAGTAGCAGGGAATGGCAGCTGCCTTGTGGGCAGCAGAGAACAAGGAAGAGCAGAAGGAGGAAAGGGAAGCTTATTGAACTCCTGCTCAGCATATGGCAAATACCTTGCCAACTTCTAAAACCAGGGTCACCCGATATCCAGTATCCACCTACATCTTCATGGCATGGGAATTAAGCCCCTACTAACCCCAGGATCTGGGGGAGCCACAGGGCACTGAATGGAGTGAGAATATGTTCTGAGAACTTCCCAAAGGCAAAGAAAGGAGATTTTCAGGCAGGCTGCTAAAGAGCATGATTGCACAACTGCAGTCTTGTCTGGGTCATCCAGGTGATGGGAACTTGGAAACTGAAAGCGGAGATCTCAGTAGCCCCTCCCTACTCATTTAAAGTAGGACAGAGAGAGTGAAGACTTGTGCTTAAGTCTGGAAAATAGAATGAAATAGCAGGGTAAAAAAGATGCTTACCACTGGAAGAGTGCAGAGACAAAACACAGCAGGTTGAACTGTGAGAAGCATTTATTTAAGGCAAAAACTACACATTTGAAAAAAGGGGAGTGTGGGCAACCTCAGAGAGGAGGTGTGCTCAAAAGCTTAGGATTCTGTATTTTAAGGCTTTCAAGAATGGGGCAGAGGGCTGGGCAGAGTGGAGCAGGGGCTGCTGGTGGCAGGGGTGGAGGGGGGTTGTTGGGCATAGGCTTGACATGTAGTCTCATGAGTCTCCAGTGAGAGACATTATGTCACTATAGTCCTCTAGATATTTTGTAAGATAAATTTAACACAGAATTTATTGATCCTGTTCTTCTCCAAGATAGTGGTTACACTCAAGCAGTGGGGACAGAGCAGTTTAGGACTGCTTGCTCTGCCTTAAGGTAGGTTGTTGGCTGATTACCAAAGAATATGTCAGAAATCTAACTGCCTAACTCCCTGGTTTTTAAAATGGAATCTTAGCCTTAAGATGGAGTCCCTCCTGTTCTTCCAATACTGTTTATATCTTGGCATTTTTCATCATAGACAGGAAGTTAACCATGTTGAGTGCTTGTCCCATGTCCCTGCCCTGCCTCAAAGTAGCCTCTTAAAGAGCATGGTGGATCATTTCACTCCCCCTTAAGACCTTTCCTGGGATTCCCATTGAGCTACCATGAAAATCCTGACTTCCAAGGACCACTAGCCTTGACTTATCAATCCCTCTGCTCCTGCCTACTGCCTCTTTTCAGTCCTCTATTCCATAAGCATTTCCTCCTCAGGACCTTTTCACACAGTTCCTCATCAGGATCTTTGCACATAGTTCCTCATCTGGCATGCAGATTCCCAGCCCTACTCCATGCCTACTGACAAGGAATCCCTATGTTCCAGTAGTTTATTGTCTAGAGGGGAAAAAAAGATAAACTGACTAACTCACAGTCACAGTACTGCACTAGAAGTGTGATCTGCATGCTGTTGGAACCAAGAGGTGGTGCACATAAGTTAAAGTATATTTGAGCTAAATTCTAAGGGATGGGCAGGAATGTATTACTAGATGAAGATCATTGATGGCATATGCATTTCACGCAGAGCATATTCTTGGTAAAATCTATAGGTGCTATGGCTTCAGGGAAGAGTACTCATCAGAAGATTAGAGATGTAGGTTGAGAGTCAAAATGTGAAGAGCTTTGTGTTCTAAAATAAGGACTTTAAATTTTATCTTAAAAACTGGGGGAAAACATTAAAGACTTGAGCATAAGAAAAGTTATCATATTTCAATTTTAGATATATCTAGAGAAGATATTGATGGGTGGGTGGGGCTAGGGGAAGATTTAGAGGCAGGGAGATAAAGGAAAAGGCTAACTAGTACAGAAGTGGACAAGTGATGTGGGCCTGACTGGAAATGCCCCCAGGAGGCACTATCTTTTAGTGGCTGTGTGTGGGCTGAGGAAGATGGAAAAGTCTAGGAATTATTTATCTCCTTTTCTCTTCCCTCCAGGACTCTGGCCTAGGATCCTGGGTAAATGCTGGAGTTATTAACAAAAGGGAAAAGGGGAGGAACAGGCTTTTCAGTCAAAGATGATAAGCTCCAATTTGGACATATTGACATTACAGTTGCACTCAAAGTGTTATTATTCAGACCAGCATTATTAACATCACCTGGAAGCTCATTAGAAATACAAGTTTGGGGCATTGGGTAGAGCTCAACTATCTTTCAACCAGCCCTCCCAGTGATTTTAATGCAAAATGAAGTTTGGAACCACTAGGATAGCCTAATCTCCAGCTCCAAAGGATAGTTAGCTTTGATGAATGGATTAGATAGATAGATAGATAGATACATACATACATACATACATACATACATACATACATACACAGGTAAGTCACACCAGAGCTGAGTCACCAGTCCTCACATAGTCTTGTGCTGCCACCTCTGTACTACATGGAAGTGTTCTCTTAAGTTAGCCTCTTATTTCAGATAAAAGAAAGATTTCTAACACAATTTATTTTATTTGTTGTATCTTAATATAACAAATTATCCTTCAAAGCCTTACTGCAATTCATTATTAGAGTCATTAAATTCTCATAAATTTGTCAATAGCTATGAAGACAAGTTGATCACCTTTGCTATCTGTGGCATGAAAGTTCTTATTTCCCGGATGCACATATGTTCTAATAACATTTTTTTACTTTTCTACTTTCTTATCTTAGTCATCACAGTAGATCATCTGCCTCCATTCTTAAGACACAGACCCAAGTTTACAGGACTCTATTCCACCTACCATCCTGAATCCTCATTCCAAACATCATAGTCAGTAGCAACCGCACCTCCCCCTTAGAACACCTCCTCTTATTCAATGACATCAGGACCATTCACAGTCTCTCTTCTCTTCACTGTTGGGAAAAAGAAGTTATTTGTAGCTATACTCTCAATTACATTTCTATTTTTTTTTGCATAAACAAACTGGATTTCACTTTCTTCTAAATACTACTTTGTCTTGTCTTGGATTAATATGAAAGTAAAGATGCTACTCTTGGCAAGATGACTCAATTTCACTCATTTAGCAAACAGTTATTTCTTTCTTACCTTCTATAGAACCTTATATATTTACAGTGAAGGGGGTATAGGAATTATTCATACACATTTCCTGCCCTAATAGTCTTGATAATCCAGTAGCATGAAAAAGTTAGTGTGAAAACTATTACACATATAATAGCTCATGACTCACATGAATAAATGACTATGGAAGAAATGATAGACTCAGCATCCATTCCAATCTCTTCCTAAGTTATCTTCCATAAAAGTTAAGAGATTTGTATCGCTAAAAGAGACTGTATAGCTAAAACTGAGACTGGGTAGCTAAAAACTACATTTCCCAGACTTCCCTACATAGAGGTGCATTCATGAGAGATTTGAAAGAAGTGTGGTGGAGGCCTCATTCCTCTTCTGCTACTTTTTTTCTGCTGATGAATACAGTTGTGGAAATGTTACATTTTTCTCAGCAGCATTCTAGTGTTTATTTGCTTCAAAATTATTTAGAAGCAGTTGGAGCTGGCAGCAACTTGGCTTCATTGGTAAGCCAGTTCTACCTGCTCCCCTGGTGGGCCAGTAGAGAGGAGTTGTTCTTTAAGTTTTTCCTGTAGATTCTGCCTGCAGGCTGTTTCTTTAACCGTCCAACACTTAGGAACACCTAATTCCTACACTAAAAGCACTTCTGCTTGAAATAACTAGAGTTACTTCAGTTTTCTGTAACTTAACTCCAGCTTGTAGCATTTCAATACTGGTGGAAAAAGAGAGGGAGGGAATGAGGGAGGTGGACAGAGAAGAACACAACTATTACAAAAGACCAAGAGAGGTTCCATATAGAAGATGGTGCTTGACATAGTCCTTGGTATACAGAGAGGATTCTGACAAAAATGAAGGGCAATGGAACAGCATACTAGGCTGAGGGTAAAGTATGAGCAAAAGTGCAGAGTTAGTGAAAGCCCAGAGTACATTAAGAGTTGAGTGATCTGCTCTGGCAACTTGCTGCACTGATGGACAGTGACTGCACTGGGGTATGGGTGGGGACTTGATAATATGGGTAAATATAGTAATCACATTGTTTTTTCATGTGAAACCTTCATAAGAGTGTATATCAATCATACCTTAATAAAAAATTTTAAAAAATAAAAAAGCATAGCTCGGTGATTAGGAAGACAGACTTTGGAGTTGGTCACACCCCTGCCAATGACTGTGTGGCCTTGGACATGTCATTTAACCTAAGCTCAGTTTACTCATTTCAATTGGGGGAGACAGTATTAAGTAAAACTCACAGGATTATTATAATTGCATGAGATGATATATATAAAGCAATTTGCATAGTGACTGACAAATACATTATTATTACTACTATTAAAATAAAAAAGAGAGTTGAGTGATCTGATTTTGCTAAAGTATTGAGTATGCTTATTTTGAGGAGTAAAATAAGACCATACTCTGAAAGATTTAAAGTGTGTAGGGTAAAGAGTTTAGATTTAATTCAGCAAATTGTATAAGTATTTAAGTGGGGGAATGCCAATATCAGAAATTAAAAGTGTAAAATGAGTTGGAGTAGAGAATCAGTATATGGTACAGTTAGGAGGCTATTACAGGAGGACAGAAGAGAAGTAACAAGGGGTTAAACTTCTGTGATAATTTGGGAAATGTAAGAAAGGGGATAGATAGAAGAGACTCCAGAGGTTAATTTACATAACTTGGAGATTGATTAAATACATACAGATTAGGAGAAAGGAGCCAAAGATGACTCTGA